TGAGGTGATCGATTAAAATGGGACACCCCGTATATAGCGTTTTCAAACCAAATTGGTTTGCATCAACCTGAGCTAGATTAATGATGTCGCATGTTTTACTATTGGTTGACACGTTACATGCTCGATACCACAAAATCTCATTAATCCAAACCAGATCGGTGCAAACTCACTCGGGTCCAAAACGCTAATAGCAGAGCTTCTCTCTACTAATATGATAGTATATTTACTTTTTGTATTTGGGATATGTGAAGTTAGCACCCCGATATAGTACTCGGGAGTTCTGATTAAAGTTTCCATTGCCTTTCGACGAAACAAAGAGTTTGCTATAGTTTATAATAAGAGTTCCGCTTAATAACTATTGTAGGATCTGGGAGAGATCCTAACGGATATGAGTATCGAACTGTAGGCGTTAATATGGCACTCGTTAACTTAACTTCAGAAGATCCTTTCTCACACGCGCACATCTGTCTCTGTTCTCTCCAAAAGACTCTCTTCATACTTCATACTGTATCCGCCAAAGCTCCCTCTCGTGGGGTCACCGCCTTAACTCTAGTGCCCGCGTCACTCATGAGAGAAGAGCATAGCTCTAGAGAGCGCACGTAGTTTAAATTCGCATGCATTTGTAGAGATATCAGATCCCCACACTCGGCCGTCCTGAAAAGGCATCTGTCCCAGATGACTACAACGCAGAAGACCAAGGCTTCATGTATTCAGCGCATGAACTTGTTTTCTTAGGGCCTTCGCCAGGCACCTCGCGCTCAACATCGTAAGAATTGTTTGATTTAACTCGCACAACTTTATAGGGGCCAAGGTATTTGGCGCAAAGTTTCTTGCCAGGTCCTACCTGCACTCTTTTAATCGCAACTAAGTCTTTAACTCTACATTTAGCCGGCTCGCGTCTTCTCAAATTATATGTTTTACGATTTTCATCTTGCACTTTACGGATTTACTCCTTAGCCTGTTTTCGTAATTGATCACGATCCTGCTCAAACTATAATCGGAATTCTTTCTCTATGGCATCTTTAACAGTTAAGTCGTCCTTTTGTTTCATTTTAACTCCGGTCAACAGTTCGAACGGGGTCATGCTTCTATGAAAAGTAGAGTTTACAGTCTGTTGAACTTTAGGTACATATTTATACCATTTCGTAGGCTCATCCATCGCCAGCTTAGTTAAAATGGGATAATCGTTCGATTAAGCCTCTCTACTTGTCCGTTCGCTCGCGGTAGACCAGTTGTGGTCGTGGAATGTTTGATACCTTCTTCCTCGCAATAATTTTGAAATTCTAAAGAAGAGAACGCGGTAGCTCTGTCGGTTATAATGCTAGCTGAATTTCCAAATGTTTGACTTTGCAACTGCAGTTTTACAATCATCTCCCTAGACGTCGTGGAGTTGGTAGAGTACAACCAGCAAAACTTAGTAAAGCTATAAATTACAGCTAATACATGATTGTACTTTTTGCTAGTCGATTCCAATGGTCCCAAGTGGTCCAAATGATATACCAGGTATGTAAATATGAAACCGGAATTTTTTAATAGAAAATACATGTTTATTGCATGAAAATGATAAAAAATATTTTATTCGAAGTATTGCCCATCGCTAGCTATACATTTTTCCCACCTGTCTG